CTTCAAGCAACATCTTGATCTTGCCATAGCAGTTGTTCCCAGCAAGAGCTGAAGTTTTTTCAGCAGTTATACCTGGAAATACTCCTGAAGTCCAAAAGTTTGTCTACAACAGGGCATAGAGACAGTCATTTGCATAGAACTTGAACAAAAAACAAGTGCTATTCCATATATAAAAAAGTCTGAATATTTTTGTAATCTTTCTTGCATGCAGAAGATAACTTCAACCAGTGGTAACCATCAAGGATTCTACATCCCACTTGGTTGCATCAAAACTAGCTTCGAAGAAATTACACACAACAATATGTTTGCAAGATCCAAGATCAAGCACCCCATTTTCCTGAAACTATTTGATTTTGCCAAATCAGTCATATTGCCTTATTTTTTGGTCCTTGTCAGCAAGATCATCAGTGTAACAGGCGGCTGTGGGGGCTAGTTGTTTGGAGTTCGATTTTAAATCCAGGTTTACAGTCGCAAGTGGAGTACACAAGTCACTAACTTGAGAAAGTTTACAGTTAGATGAAAGAATTGACTCTGAGACCAAGATTCAAAAATACAATATATCAAGAAACTCAGCTGCATCAAAATTACCGAAAGTATCTTTAAAAACTTCACTGTTAAAATTACTACATTCTTCAGTATGAGCTGACAACTGTTCTTTGATTAAACTTTCTACAATAATCATTAAATTTCTTACTATGACCAATAAGCTATCAATTATAAAAATATTACTTGAATTATGTTTGGACACAGTGTGCTTTACTTTTCTTAATATCAAATGACTTGCATTCAGTTTCTACTTATGTTATTAGACGGAGAGAAATAGCAATTATTACTTACATTGAGGTTGAATGGTGGGTGTTTTGGATCTGTTGCAAGATGGAGGTCTTCAAGGTTTTATAGAGATCTGGAAACATCGACCAGCAGGTTGAAGGGCCTTTGCTTCAGCATTGGAGAGACTGATTTTGAGCCCCAAAACATGGGTTCTCATACAATTTTATTTAGTATTCTTACGATCTTCCAAATAGTGTACACATCAACTCATAAGTAGATCTGTCACTTAACTGGTTGAACTTTGTCGACTCATCATAATTCTCGGAACTAAAACCAAAACTAATCTAGTAATTGGTTATGATTGAAGACTGTAAATTGGCAGTCTTTTTACATGCATTTCTCCTTGTCTTCCTTCTGATCAAAGTTCTGCTCAGAGCCTCTGTTTTCCTTTCTAATGCTAACAAACTTTCTCATACCTTTCTCTCTGCTACAGTTATGTCCATTTATATTGATAAGATAAACAGTCAGTTCTCTACACCACCTTGAATGTATCTTAGTTTATGCCTAACATATAACTTCCTTTCTTGGTCAAGCATCTCTTTCTATGTATTCACTTAGTGTGTACAATCTTTATTTGTATTTCATGTACGTGTGCCGCACATTAAATTTTATAAGATTTATATTTTCTCAATTCTTGTAGCATTTGAATTATCATAAAACGTCCCAAAATGCCGCAAATGCTTCATCATCAGCATCAATTACGGATGCTATATCTTTTTCAAATCTTTGGTGTTTAGCATTAACTTTTGCAATATCCTCAAGGATAAGTTTCCTTTTCCATGTCTTTTTATCCAGTTCAGCCGTCTCCCTCTGTTCATCGAGGTATTGGTTCTATTTCTGTCTACCACTTTGAGTGGCAGTGAGCAGTTCTTTTGACACGGAAACTTCCAGAATTCCTCCAACTGACTGCACATAACCACAGATTATCTGCTGACCAACAAGGAAGACCATTTATGTTTTGAAGCATTAACCCTTCATTCACAGAAAAGCCCCTTTCAACAGTTGCTTGGTCATGAGAAAGTATTAAAATCTGTTTCACAATACACCATAGGGACTTGTAATCCATAGCTTGACCCATGTGTTTAAACAAAATGTAGTCAAGCCTATCACTTATGAGGTCAAAATCCTTGAACATGCAAAAATTTGGCTTCACAGCCTGAGATAAAAACAGTCATACTGTCCGATTAAGCAATCACATTCTTCTGCTTTCAGACGTTTCAAATTGAGGAGAATAGACAGTACACACTGAAAACGAGCCTTGCTATCCATCGCATTTGAGGCCATTTTTAGAGGAGAAAAACAGGTAATAATACTAGTAAATGAGCATTTCAACAGACACTTCACTAGCAATTTCTCAAACAGATCAAAACAGACAAACACTCATTGCAAAATGCAAGCTTGTTTCTTGGAGTTGCCTTCACTGTGGCAATCAATTTTCTGTTGTACAAAAACGGATATTGACATGTTTAGGGGATTTGATATTTTCCGTATTGCTTAAGTCAGTTTTTAACAATTTAAAGGCAGTGTCTGCTTTGGGTGGCACATTGTGTTTTACAACTCTTCTCAGAAGGTTTCTGATCATAAATTCAAGATCACAGCTGACAAATGGCAGGACAGAGTGGTCAGTCTGCTATTTGGTGAGAAATAGAGAGAGTTCTTTATATATCAAAACATAAAATGATAACTCTGTTACAGAAAGGATATCATTTGTTGCAGATGTTACAAGATTAAATGCTTGACTCTTTAGTACTGTGCAAGAGTTTGATTTGGCTTCAACTGTTTTGATGTATGTTTCAAAATTTGAAATCATTTCGATTGCCCTTTGTGCAATAGGTGCATTCACTACCCATTGGGTAGAACAAAATTTTAGAGCACACGAGACAGTAATTTTCTCAAAGTCTTCCCATCTGGCTGGAGAATCTTAGAAAAGGCAGTACAATGATTAAGTATTGCTTCCAAATCCCAATCAGAGGCATTGAAAGCAATACAAAAAGCCCCATGGACTATGTGGAGACCACAAGACCCAGTGTTGATTAAAGATGGAT